ATATATATACACAAGCGTTTGGCTCATACACACACACACACACACATATATATGACTGTGTATAATGTGCGTGTGTGTGGGTGCATGGGTGCATACACGGATACATATATCACTCTCTCTGCAAGATACTTTTTCTGTACGCAAAGGTAGCACAGCGTTTGCCTCTGCTTGGTGAGAGACACATTAAGACTTATCCAACTCTGGCCTCTGTAAAGTGCTCGGAAACTGGAGCTCGGGACACAGAAACCAGGAGGGGCTGAAGAAGCCCGTGACTTTAAAAGAACTTAACTCAGCCAATATTGTTAATGTAAATGCACATACATTGGAACAGGGAAACATCACATATTCTAGGTCCATGCTCCTTGTACTGATCAAGGCTGCTGGAGGCTCCCCAAGCCATCATCTTTTATAATTATAATTACACGCGTCAATCAAGACCTTCAGGCAAAGTCAGAACAAGGCAGGCAAACTCAGGAAAGAGCTCACATAAAAAAAGTTTGGAGAACTTAGCAAGGAGCGGAGAAGAGATTAGAAGAAAGGGTAATTAAGGTTGCTCAAGGCAATTGCGAGAGCTAGAAGTCCAAGCTAAATTAAATGTAGCCACGAGGGACCAGGTATCATTTATAATGCGTACTACCCTAAACCGTTACTTCGGAGAAATAGAGCTGTGCAATAACCGCTCTAAAGTATTTCCATGTCGGTTAATAACTCGCGGGGCAGCTCTGCGATGCGCAGTCTGAGCTGGGGCCAAGTCGTGCCCCGCTGCGGGCACTGCCCACGCCTGGGTTTCTACCAGGGTTGTCCTGGACAAGCCCAGGGGCTTGGGGAGCAGAGACAGGCTGGTCTCGGTGTGGGTAGAGGAAGAAAGCCCGAGCCTGAAGGGCTCGATCTTCCTGGATCGGTGGCCCTCTGGGCCACGGGGCTGCCGGATGGTCTCTGCTGAGCTAAACGAGGGCAGGCTTGCTCCGAGCCCCCTGCCATCCAGCCCCCTCCTCGCCTGAAAGGGCAGAGAAAGCGCACCCTATTCTTTTCCGAAAAAAAACCTTCGCGAGCTGCAGGACCGACGATCTGTTGTGGATACGTATTAATCTAACTTTCCAAGGTCTGCTGTAAATACTGTCGTAGGCTCCGGTTTTAATAATCCCTCTCCCGCAGCAGGGAGGTGCGGGAGGCTGAGCTTCCCCCAGGGGAGCAGCCCGGCGCCTGGCGGGGCGCGCGGGGACGGGGCAGCTGCCGGCTGCCCCCGGGGCAGGTCCCCCGGAGGCTCGGCTCAGCTTCCCCCCTGCCAACAGCAGGGGCCGGGGACAGCACCGTCCAAACCTAAATCAGATCCACAGCAAGGAGGCTTGAAAACGCTGGGCTCATTTAACCAACTGGTAACAGCAAAGTTTGGGAGTATTTTTTTTTTAATTAAGTAAATGATATGTATAAAAGGCCAGAGCAGCGTGCTCTCATTTCATACCTGTCCAAGAGAAGGGGAGGAAGGAAGACATCTTCCAGGGGATAGATTCAAGCCCCCCACCCCTTGCACCAGGGCTGGATGTGTGTAAAACTTACTCTCAGCAGAGGTGCTGAGCTAGGAAATGACGGCTTTGAAACTAGCCTTGATAATGGGCAGGGGGTTTCCTACTTTTTCTCCCAACTTGTCTCTTTCAAGTGTCTCCCCCGAAACCCACGCGGGGCCAAATGCCCCGGGCCCCAGCCTGGAGATCCCTTAGGCAGAAAGGGGGAAGGAGCCTCTCCTGCAGCGGCCACACCAAGATCCGCGGTGAATCGGACTTGGGTGTAGATCCTGTTTTGAGTGGCTCGGCAGGAAAAGCTCAGATGAACTAGACACCGAGCCCGTTGTCGCCTGTTAAAGGACCTTTGTCTGGAAGCACCTGGGCGGTTAAAAAATGAAGGCAACGACACCGCGTTACAGTGGGGGAGCTGGGTGCTGCCTGCAGCCCCTTCTGGCTTTGTTAGGTGCGTTTTAGTGCTCAACCCGTTTTGCTTCAAAGGAGGCACCCATGCGTTATTATCACTGCTTTTATGGGGCGGGGGGAGGGAATAAAGCTCGTCTAATCTCAATAAATATCTAATAAAATATCTATAAAGATATAAAACATCTGAACGGCTAATGGGGCGGTCATGCATTGGCAGCTCCCCACACTCCTGGGGCCCGGCCGGCAGATTTGGAGTGAAGCCCTGCCTTGCCACGGCATGAGGCTTTCAAATCCTCCAGCAAATCTCCGGTGAGAGATCCGACTTCTGGAGACCAAAAAATGCTGTGGGACCCGCTCCCGGGAAGAAGGAGGGGGTGTCTAGGGCGCTCGCCGGAGCTGGGAGGGGGGAAACTGAGGCTGAGCCAGCACCCGCTCGGCTCTATAGACTCATAGCTTGTCAGGGGGCTAGAAGGGACCTGGTGGATCATCGGGTCCAGCCCCCGGCGCTGGCAGGAAGAGCTCAAGTGACCCCAGCGAGGTGACCCTTCGTGGGGGCAGGGAGACGCCGGGGGCGCAGGTGCAGGTTGGCAAAGCCCCCCCCCGGGAGGCCTCAGTTCCGCGCACGGCCGGCTCTCGAGGGGGTCAGAGCCAGACGAGCCCCGCAGTGAGGGTGAGGGCGAGGGCGGCCGGCGAAGGGGCAGGGCCCCGCACCTCCGGGGCCGGGCGGGCGGTGCGAGGCGAGGAGGCTTTACCAACCGCGAGGCGGGGGCGGAGGCAGGGGAAGGGGCAGGGGAGGCTTTGGGGAGGGCGCTCATTGGCTGGCGGGGCGCCC